GACCGCCCCTGCCTGCTTCCCCTCTTCCTTCTCCTCCTCCTCCTCCCGCCCACCCAGCCTCTTCCCCTCTTCCTTGCCCTCTCACTGCTTGAGCCAGCTGCGCGCGCGCTCGCCCCCCGCCCACTTCCCCTCTTCCTCCTCCTGTCGCTGCCCGCCCAGCCTCTTCCCCTCTTCCTCGCCCTCCTCCCGCAGAGCCGTCCACTCTATATTTTGAGTGGAAATGTTGGGGGGAGGGGTCATCTTATACGGCTGCCTTGTACACCGGCAAATGCGGTAATTGTAGGTTTTTGTCTTTTGTGCCAGGCTTTAGTCAGTTTCTAGTAACAACTAAGCAGGACTTGCACGCCTGAAGCCCAGCTACTCTTTCTCAAGGCAACCATTTAATTTTGCCTCTTGTGCTGTGCTGCACTGGGGGTTCCAATGCCTGCTGCTTCATTACTCCCCAACACTATACCGCACTCCAGTCCTGCTATGCATTTAGTTACATATATCAAGTTTGAGTAGAATTTGCTCAGGGTATTTCTTCATTAGATCAAGAGATGCTGATAACCATCTTCAATACTTAGAGAGCATGGATATAACGGGTTATGAATAGTGTTACTAATAGGGAATAGCATTAGTAATAATAACAAACAATAATGGTGCACGGGTGAGGAACAATAGGACAATCTTTGTCAACAAAGATGCCTGACCTGTGCAAGAAAAGTGTCCAAAGGTCAGAGGACTCTGTGCAGAGAAGAAACTGGAAACAAGCATTTGAACTAATAAGTCACCAGAAGAGGAACTGATAAACAGTCAACAAGAGTTGGGGGAAAAAACAAGTGTAGAAGACGTGACCTGGGAATGATGAGGTCGCAACTTCAGGTGGAGGACCCTGAAATTTAAAAAAAAAACATACAAAAGAAAGTGGTCTGCAGCCCTTGTTTGGAGTGACACCCACAGAAATGCCAGGGCAAACTTGTCTCCCCCACAACCCTTTATAGGCCAGCATTACAGGATGTAAGTATGGATGAATGGCTGGACAGGTGTGTGCATGTGTAAATGGATGTATTTACGTGATTTACTGAATCACACTCAAAATTAAACTAGATAGCATTAGTAATCCAATTGGTCTCCATAGCATTTTTTTTCTGATATACCACCTCATAAAGAGTTGTCAAGAAGCTTAAGGAATTTGTAACAACAGGCATAGTAGCTGCATGTTAACTTCAGTATAAGAGTTGGTTTGCTAGAAAATATAAGCAGGAGAGTGGTATTGAAGGAAGATTGCTTCCTATGAACCAATGGAGGGCACTAGATGAATTTTTCAAGAAGCTTTGGATCCTGCTCCCAATTTCTATTCTGTTCTAATATATTCTATTATTTTTTGCAGTGACAGATCCAGAAGAGGCCTCTCCAGTGCAGGGGTAGGCAAGTACCACCTCACGGCCTCCAGATGTTTCCCACCTATTTGACATCATGGCTGAATCTTAGGTCAATCATTCTTCTTACAAGACAGAGCAAGAAGTTTCCCCAAAAAACTTTCAGTTTCCAGGTCCTCTCAATATACATACAGTATGTTCCACTACTGCCTAAAGCAGGTACATACTTTGAAATTTGACAAATTTGGATAAGCCAAAGTCGTGGTTCCCTCCAGGTTCCCCCTCCTCCAATTTTTATATTTGTTCACAATGGTGTCAACCTTCCATCTTAGCAATGGGAATATTGGGGAATAACCATTAGGGAAGTCTGCAATGCTGTCAAAACAGCATTTTGTACATACTTCTGATTGTATCTCTATTCCTTGCCTAAGAGGAGCAATAAAAGCTGGAGATGGATTTGCATGGACCTGTGTAAGATAAATAGGCATACAAATGGAAACTATTTTTAACCTCTGCAACAGATAAGCAATGTGGAAAATTCAAGCCATAAAGCTCTGCTTCTTGGCAGCTTATGCACAGCAAGATGCTTCATAAAAGTATCGCGTGTACCTCAAGTACCTATAAGTTCTCTCTCTCTCTCTCTCAATCTCCTCTTTTGATTTCTGGGAACCCTTCATGCTTCTCTCCTTTGTTGTAATTCAATCCCCTTTAACCAAAATAAATAAGTAAAAAATAAAAATACATCATCTGACAATTCAGAAACATTATATGCATCATTATAAATAAAAAGCAACACAGTCTTGCTTGAGAAGTCCTGAATGCCAGTAATATACATCTTTCAGAGAAATTTGTTTAAGTGACTTAAAAAATCTTTATGAAAATCTGTTTCATTACTTACTTGACATTTCTTTACACAGAGACATATACACACACGATTTGGGAACCAAAAGTTTATAACGACATTATATGTGTAAAGACATAGAGATGCAAGTATCTGTATGGTTTTGTTTTGCTCTTGCAGCTAGCCAGCTTTGCTCTTTGAAAAGTGAGGTTAGCAGCTTCATTCTGCTCTATGTAACATTTTCAGTCACTAGCCCATTCTTGAGCCAGAAATATCTACATGAAATAAGATACTGTGCAGAATGAATGCTCTGTGTCTGGAAGTGGGGGGTTTAATCCATTTACAGTGGAGTGATATCAGCATGTGCAATTTAAGGATTTCCATCTGTACCAGGATGCACAGGTGGAAGACGGGTGGGAAGCACATATGTATCTGCCCTAAGTACGGATGCTGAGGACAGGGTTGCACTTATCAAATACACATGTGAAATAAAGCCTGCACATGCTTCAGTGGAGTTAAGCAAGGTTCAAGCACATACAATGAGTACCTTGGTCACTCTGTTGTACTGTGTAGGGAATGTGCAAAATTCAGTAAAAGTTAGATCTGCAAGTCCCAGCTAGAGTACACAAATTGAACCAATAGGGCTTACACAGCTGCTCATTTATTTGATTCAACGAATTTGCTTTAGTTGGGACTAAAAACTGGATTCAAACCCAAGTGCCTGTCAGATAGTTTAAGCCCAGGCAGTGGTGAGTAATAGCAACCTCCATCTGTGCAGCTGGATCTTGAGCTTTGTTCCTTTATGCATGTGTCATGTGCAGGTCACACATCCTGTGCCATGTTTGTTGGTGTTGAACAGCAATTATATCAGTGCAGTTACTTTAATGCAGCTAAGCCAAATGCAAGACCATGGTGGCTTATTAGACACTTTGAGTTCTTGTGGACTGATAAAAGTCTTGCTCCCCTCTCCTTCAATCCTGCACTTAATTTAACTAGGTTTTGCTTGCCAGAAAACCATGCATTTGAAAAATGTGTTCTACTCCAAGTGTAATTCAAGAACTTAGTATTTTGAAAATATGTGCATTATCAAAATAAATGTCGCTATATAAAAGCACATCCACACTAAGACATTCAGTCTTAATGGCCAATTATGTCTGCAAAATTAGGTCCCACAGGCACAATCATGTTATGGAAAACTATTAAGGAGAAATGTGATACAAATCATATTTTTCTATAATAGCCTATATCAGGATGTTAGGATCATACACTGACACATCAAACAAGCATATAAAATTACTTTTTACAGAAAGGAAATCGAGTATTTATATCTGGGGCATCTATGTTGCAAGCTATTGCTTGAAACCAGGATATTAAATATGGTTCTAAAAGATGGTTACAATGCAGAAAGCATTTCACAACAGAGTGGAACATTTCCTTTGTGCAGCAACAGATTTAAACAAGTGAGCTTGGCCTTTATTCAACAGCAGATATAAACAAAAGCTGAAGGAGCCCATTCCTGCTGATGGAATGATGTACTGTGGAATGCTCTATTTAATATATCCACCTCCAATGTTATGTTTTAATCCAGGTCAACTAAACAAAGGCATCCAATCTAGGTGCATAATTTGGATCTGTCAGTGGAAAAAACATCCTGCTCTGTGCCTATATACAAGTCTAAGTAAGATTTTCTTCCACATTTTGATAGTTTAGGCACTTATTGTTATATGGAATGTAGCACATTTATCTTATACAAAAAGTGAAAAGCATTTCTTCAGTCAGAGCCTTCTTCCTGATCAGTTTTGTGTCCTGAGATCAGTCCAACAAAAGGCAAATCTTTTCAGGAACTGTACTCGCGAAGGCTTTCACGGCCGGGATCTCATGGTTGTTGTGGGTTTTCGGGCTCTTTGGCTGTGTTCTAAAGGTTGTTCTTCCTAACATTTCGCCAGTCTCTGTGGCCGGCATCTCCAGAGGACAGCACTCTGTGCTCTGGTGTAGTTGGCTTGGGAGTGCAGTATTTATGTAAATACTGCACTCCCAAGCCATAAATACTGCACTCCCAAGCCAACTACACCAGAGCACAGAGTGCTGTCCTCTGGAGATGCCGGCCACAGAGACTGCCGAAATGTTAGGAAGAACAACCTTTAGAACACACACAACAACCTTTTCAGGAACTCCAGAAAGATTTCCTGAAATGGGTGAAGGGACAAAAAACGAGAGGCTACTACCATCCATGTGTTCTGGAGCTGTGCTCTGTTATCAATGTTTCGTACTAGGTTATGCAATTCTAATTCTGACAAATCTTATTCTATAATATATCCTGGCAAACTGGGCAATATCTAAAGTGGTTTCCATTCATTTAAGGGCAAAGAGCAGAACACCCATGTATAACCGCCAGTCAAAGTTGAAGACACAAGAATGATAAAGGAACAAGTGGGGAATGAGTTGAACACCGAATTACCTTCAGAAAAATTGTGGGAGGCTAACTTGAAGTATATGAATTTTTTTCTTTATGGAATTAAAAGTTGAATGATATTATATGCCTCCCTGCCTCTTTTTTTTATCTTATTTGGATTTTTAAAAAATCTTGCGTCATAATTTTAGGATATAATACACACACACACTCTCTCTCTCTAAATAATTCAGTGAAAAACCTTAATGAATCTTTCTCTCTTTTCACAAATGGTTTCTGAATATCTATAGACTGACTTTACTTGTGTTGCCATTTCAATGTCCATTAAGGAATAACAAGAACCTGAAAGAAATAATCTGCATTATAGTATTACTGCTCATAGCACGCCTTTAGACTTCAAAATTTATTTGTATGATTTATTAATAATCTCCAACTTGCACTTATATTAACAAGCAAGAGGGTTTTTCATTGTTTACTTATCAGTGCACAGCCAATTTCAAGAGAGAAACTGATATGCTACTGCTGTTATGAACATGGGCTGCAGATCACAATGACACATCTGAAGTGAATCTAATGACACACTTCAATCAAAGGCATTAATTACACGGTGGAAGAGAAGGAAAGTGTGACTTCCCACTTTGATGGCCTACCCATCTAAACATTAATCAAATGTTTATTTACTACTTTGTTAGGAAGTCCATGTGCTGCTGGATTTACAAGTTAGGAACATACGTGTAACTTCACTATAAAACAACATAGAAACTATTTGTATTGTGGAAACGGCTATGAAATGTATGGACCTTTTTTTATCAATGTAACAAGAGCATACAGATTCCAACCCCAAATATTATACATCATAATGTAAACAGTTAAATTATATAAGGATTCTTATGAAAGATCCAAATGGAAGAAAACAATATAAAATGTATCAAAACATAAATTACATTTCAAAGTCTGTACATGATTTATCTCATAAAAAAGCACTGGAGACATAAACGCTCTGTACAATATTGCTTATTTTGGTCTTCCAAAATCTACAATCACTAAACATTTTTTAAAAAACAAAGACTGTGTGTGTATTTTTCCAGCACCATCTTATAAAATAAAAAAATGAGTTTAAAATCCTTATTGATCAGCGTGATCAACAACATGTGCTAATGCATTTCTGAGCCTTTTCTCCAAATGTGAGCTCCTACAGGCAAAAGAGTTCAGCTTGTTACCACACTGTCTACCCTGTCACTTCTTTTGGGCAGCAAAATATATTTCCTGCTATGCTGGAGGAAACTTCTATTCTCAAATCACTACGTCAAATGCATAGAAGTCATTCTGCTTTTCACCATCAGCTCCAACTAGATTTCAAATTTGGAACATTTTCCCCTCCCCCTCTCATCTTCTCTACACCTAAATAGCCACTTTGCAAATATATTGCATTAGCGAGGTAAACAGCTGTCCATCACACTTTGGACACCTCTTCAATCTTTTCTGTTACTGTCATTCGGCTTCTTTCTTTCTTTTCTTTTTTGACTACCGATTTGACCAAAATTCATTAAAAAATACGACTATCACAGTTCAAGATATACATGATGTGCAATGCATTTCCACTATATGTTGCACAGCAACAGTATATTATAAAAGCAGCTTCCCTGTAAGAACTGTAATCAACTTTTAAGATTTAAAAAACAAACTCTACATTTGCAAATATCTGCTAGAAAGGAAAGCTCATAAACTTGGGACATCATTATTGCTGCATTTTATGTGGTTTCAGATTAGTCGTTGTGTATAAGACTCCCAACAACAAAACTAATTAGACAAGTCAGACCATTTACACTCTCCAGAGCACTGAAGAGATGTTCAATTTTGTCTTGGCAATAAGGCAACAACTTTAGGCCTCTGACTGAAACTCTGTCTCATCCAGTTGAAGAGTGTCATTATCACCCAACAATTCTGTTTCCGGCACTGAGCATTCCTCTTCTTCCTCCTCTTGGACCAGACTCTGAGAAATATCTTCTGTCACATTATGTAGCTCTTCTGAACCTTCAGGTACAAGAGCAGCCCTGTCAGCCACAGAGGCATTGGAGGGGGCTGTTGTTACATATCCTGTACTTGTAGAACCACTTCCACTGTGATGCGACCCTGGTTTTGGAATAATTTGGGGAGCCATCTGCTGAGGAGCCACCTGCATTGGGATTTGGACAGGATAAAAATTTGGTAAATAAGCTCCATAGGCTGGCATTGGTTGGTAACCATTGACAGGAATGTAGAGCTGAGGTGGTGGAACCATAGGTCTTATCTGTCCTTTCATTGGTATGAACTGTGGCTGGGGGAAAGCTTGTGTTTTTGGCTTTGGCCCAACATATCTAGTGTTGCTGATATTACTGACAGGGCTGGTGCTCAGGGAACTGGTTTGCGTGGTGTTGCTTGCACCAGATGTTTGTGCAGAACTATTGTAATTTGACAGATTTCCCCAAGTTCTGAGTCTATTGTGGATGTCTTTAAATCTTGGCCTTCTGTTGGGAAATTCATTCCAACATTCTAACATCAGCGAGTACATCCATGCAGGGCAGTCATCAGGACATGGCAAGACCTGCCTGTTTCTTATCATCTCAATGACATCTTGGTTGGAATAGCCACAGTACGGCTGCAAGCCATAGCTGAAGATCTCCCACAGTACCACTCCATAGGACCAGATGTCAGAATCAATGGAAAACTTGCCATACATAATTGCCTCGGGGGACATCCAGCGTATAGGGAGCAGACTATTTCCCATTAGTTTGTAGTAATCAGCAGAATAAACTTCCCTGAAAAGACCTAAATCGGATATTTTAACATTCAGTTTGTCAAACACCAGGACATTTCTAGTGGCCAAATCTTTGTGGACAACATGGTGACTTGAAAGATACTCCATTCCTGCTGCTATTTGTGTCACAATATGAAAAAAATCAGCTGGCTCCAAGGCAGATTTCACTGTCTTGTCATCATCGGTGCTGCCAACATCAGAGTGAGGTGATCTCATAACCAAGAATTCATGGAGATCGCTGTGGGAACAATAGCTAAAAATCATGCTGACCGGTTGTTCTTTGGTCACTATACCCAGTAAGCAAACTATATTTGGGTGCTGTAATCGTGACCTCATCATTGCTTCATGTTTAAATTCTTCTCGCAGGGTTAAGTCTGCTTTATCCTTGAGTGTTTTAATGGCAACAGTTTGTGTCTGCTCCCCTGGAGTTGTGCCAAATAGGTGACCCTTGTAGACTTTTCCAAACTTCTCTTCACCTAGTTCCTCCATGAATCTCACAGTAGAGAGGCTGATTTCTTTCAGTTTAGTCTGTAAATCAGATAATAAATAATAAATAATAAATAACAATAACAATAACAATAACAACAACAACAACAACAACAACAACAACAACAACAACAATAATAATAATAATA